CCAAAGCGCCACCCGGAAATTTCCTTCCCACACTAACGACGACCCCGTCTTCTTAGGCAGGCAATGAATGGGAGGGAGCCGAGGAGCTCCGAGTTTCTCCCCCCCTTCCTCTTCACCTCCTGGGTTGGGAGCCGCTCTTGCATTTGCCCGGTTCTCTCGTCGGCCCCGCGCTTCACATTGTCCTCCTCCTCAGGGATGCAGAGCCCGCGCTGCTGCTGCTGCTGCTGCTGCTTCTGCTGCAGGAGCGACCACAACAGCGGCGGCTGCAGCTCTCGAGACGCCCGCCCTGCGCGCGCGGCTCGTGGCGGTGCCCTGGCCGCACCATCGCCCGCCTCCCCAACGCCGCGGCTCTCTGCCTGGGCTCCAGGAGAGGAGCATCCCCACGCTGTGATGCAACCGAGCCTGGAACGGGACCGCTCGACCGACAGGCGCACCGGACCCAATCGCAGGCGCCGGTTTCTCCAGCCGGCCAATCCCCCAACTCCGGAGGCGGAGACGAAAGCGAGGTTCGGCTGCGAGCGGCGCTCATCTCCACGCCAACGTGCAAACATCCACCTGGGGAGCGGACTCCATGGATTCCCTCTGCCGAGGAGGGGGGAGTCGCCCGAGAGGAAGAGGAGGAGAGGCTCCCGATCCTTTTGCGTAGCTCATCGCCTGTGGCTCTGGCTTGTGAAAGAAGGAAAAAGTGGCTTCTTTGCCTGAAGGAAGGGAACTGGCCCGTTTCCTAGGTACCTTGGCTTGTTCCAATTGGCAAGACTAATTGTAACGCTTAAGCTACCCCTCCTTTCTTTTCAGATGGTACCTTCCCAACAGATGCAAGCTTATACTCTACTGAGAAGGCAGCAAGGATGCTTCAAGATGGTTAAAACCGGGAGAGGAGGAGGAGGAGGAGGGAAACTGCCTTCCTCTGTGGAGGCCACAGGTGGACTTGCTTGTGGCAAGAGCTACACAGACACATCGGCCAAACTGAGCAGCCCAAAAGTGGTGTTCAGTCCTCTACGTGGCTAATCTTCAAGGTTCAGAATTGGACCCGAGGGCTCTCAATGACACCAACTCAGAGGCTAAGCTCCCCTCATGGTGGGGCAAGCGGAGCAGGAGGCAGGAAGGGCTTGAGAAATACTGCCAGCCCCCCACCCCCACCCCGCTATTGCAAATGCTTTGAAATCTTAAGAGAAAATGCTTTATTGGCACTGTCTCTTGATATTGGCTCCAAATATTGATGCCCAGTTTATCAATTCAGTTCTCCACAGAGTAATCTTAAGACTTTTTTTTTCCTTTTATTGTTACAGTTTGTGCAAAGACAGCCTTTCCCATATGAGTGCCTTCCAGATAATGAATGGACTTCAGCTCTCAGCATTCCTGTGAACCCTGCTGGCTGGAGCCAAAACAAAACATCCAGATGACACCAGGTTGAGGGCTGCATTTTATGGCATCAGATGTATTGAGATATGATGCTTTAGTGCTTGGAACCATCGTATACTATGAGACCATAAAGAGCATCCTTTCTCTATTTTGTATATTCAGGAGCTGGCTGGATAGCTCATTGATTTGGGGTATCTGGCTTCAGAGCCAGAAGTTGGGTCCCTGCTGTGTCTCCTGGGGGAAGATCCAGAGCATCCCAGAAGAAAGGACTGTTAAAGCACTTCTGAGTAGTCTGTACCCAGGAAACCCTGAGAAAGTTTGCCATATATCAGAATCATCTTGATTTCATAGTACTGTATTAATTAAAGTACTTGGGAAGGAATACTGAGTTGGAACCACAGAGCTACAAAGAGCACTATATAGAATATAGCTCTCCTCCCATTTTTCCCTCAAGTAAGGTCCATTTTCAAAGTGATAGCTAGCTCCCCAGGATACTGCTAAGACATCATTAAAACTGCCACCAGGAGCCATGCAGGTATATTGTAAAAAGCATTCTTTTCTCGCTTTGCACGTTAAAATCCAAGTAGTTACTTTCCTGAGAAGATAATTCAGCAGCATTACTGTATTCAGGTGCCCATAAGGTTCTATCTAGGGCGGGATGGTGGTGGTGATGATGATGGGGTAGATTAGTGCCAGACCATTGCCTTCCCCTTGTGAGTGAGGCTACAGAATCCTGGATTTGACCCTCAGTATTCATCCTTTCAGTACAGTTAGTGCTGCTATGTGCCCAGATACACTTGTGCTATTTTTGCTTCTGCTATAAGGTTTACTGCTCTCCTTTGACATCATTCATAATGCAACTTGCTTGCATCTTGCTTTATCATACTCAATAGTCCACACCATTGCAATTCCTTGTATGGTGGATAAGGGTTAAGGTTAAGGTTCCCCTTGACAATTTTTGTCCAGTCGTGTTCGACTCTAGGGGGCGGTGCTCATCCCCGTTTCCAAGCCATAGAGCCAGTGTTTTGTCCAAAGACAATCTTCTGTGGTCACATGGCCAGTGCAACTTAGACACGGAACACTGTTACCTTCCCACCGAGGTGGTCCCTATTTATCTACTTGCATTTGCATGCTTTCGAACCGCTAAGTTGGCGGGAGCTGGCACAAGCGACGGGCACTCACTCCGTCGCATGGATTCGATCTTACGACTGCTTGGTCTTCTGCCCCTACAGCGCAGGGTTCTGCGGTTTAGCCCGCAGTGCCACCACATCCCTGCTTAACTCCTTTGCCCATAAGAACCAAACTTCCATTGAAATCAAGTCATTCTAAGAAGGAAAACTACTGCACTAAGCTGAAGGAAAATAATTACATTGGAGCTGATGGAGCAAAACATAAAAATGTGACTACCTGGGAGTGCCATATGGAGTTTAAGGACATGTCTTTGTGTGAATTGTAGATTCTACTAATCCTTGCCCTTCAAAGGGCTATCTTTCTCCTATCCATTAACTCACATCCGTCCATTCATTTGCATTTGCCTCCTTCATCTGTATTTTCCAAGCTATTAATTTGTTAAATAAAAATGTCATTCTTTTCTTTCATGAAATGCTTCTGGATAAAGACCTGGAAGATTTCTAGTACCTGATACTTAATAGGGAGTTTCCTACCAAATGATTGAACCTGTCTCATGGTTTCACACTATAGAAAATATCTTCTCTTCCTCAAGCCTGCAACCCTATGAATATTTGCCTTGCAGAAAGCCTTGTAGAGTATACTGTACCTCTGAATGAACATGCATGGAATCAGCTGCATTAATTTGGTAATGACAGCACAAGATTTACCTGTTAGCATAATTAAAGTTCATTCATATTTCAGTTAGATACCTACAGAACAACCTAAAACCATCTAGATGATAAATCGGACGCAAAGATACTGCTCCAACTCTTACATGATGACAAAATAATAATTATATGCCATCAAGTCAGTTCTGATTTATAGCAAACCTTTTCAGGGTTTTCTCAGTATAGAATACTCAGAAGTGGTTTACCATTCCCTCTGGAGTACCCAGGGACTGTGCAGCTTGCTGAAATCTATACAGCCTGGTTCTTCTTTCAGAAGTCACAGTGGGAATCAAACTCTCAAACTCTGCTTCTGCAGCCAGATACCTAACTCACTGAGCAATGCCAAAATAGGATGCGCCATTTTCTTGATATTTATTTGTCCTATTTGAGGAAATTGCAGTAAATGTACCAAATCTTTCTCACTTAATCCTGTAAAAGCATCTGGATTTCCTTACAAGAAGCAATGTTACCTATTCCCTCGTGTCGGAGGGAAACGGAAGGGGAAAAGACAGCCTTGGGTCAGCTGAGAATAGGGTTCAAAAAAAGAAGTATCACTTACTTGTGACACTATAATAAACTAAAACAAAGATGAAGAAGATGGTTACAGATGTGTTCCAGATACAGCACATTGTATGTTTACTTAGCCTTTCCATTTGACTGAATCATTACAGACACTTTAAAAAAATTAAATTCTAAAGTGAAGTTTGCTTATTCAAAATTGCAGTATACAACCACCTGGACTCAAGAGTGTTTTCTTTTCAGTTCATGATGGCATGTTTACATTAAGATTCAGCAAGGTTTCTATCAGAACTTGATCACTCGGTAAGAGAAGTCACATATCCAATCTGTTCTGACATCAGAGAACCAATGAAGCAGAATTCCAGTGAGATATCTGTTACTAAGTAAAGCATTCAGAGATGATGTCTCAGCCTTAGCCTTATGGAGGATGGAAGGCTGCTTGTCTAAATTTTCAGTTATGAGTTGTCTTGCAGCAATGTTGGGTGATACATAAATAGGGAGAAATCTTGTTTCTTAGCCACTACATTGCAACAGCTCAATATCACAGTCTCAAGACATACCAAGTTGTAAACAAAAAAAACTTTCCTCGTTTGTCCCTCTCTCTTCGTACCACTTACTCTCAATCCTTTGGCTGTAATATATTGATACTCTCTGATCTTACATTGTTGCTATAAGGCATACAAGAAGATGTATGTTATGTGGATGACTTTGGATCCAATTTTTTAACTCAACAGCTATTGTTTCCTCCTGTGTAGGGTGAGCTACTCAGTTCAACAAAAAGTCATTTCCCTTTTTGTTTGGGGGAAAGGGCTACAAGACTTCCAGGTGGAATAAAGATGTGGAGAGCAGACCTTACATGTATATCCCTATCTCAGTGACCCTTTGAACCCTACACGTTTTTGGGATGAACCCAAGAGCCAACAATCCTGTGTGGTAGAGGTCCCACCTACACCCAATAACTGCATAATAAAGTTAATATGGACTTTTGGAGACTACCATAGATGATCCGCTTTGTTATTCTGTTAAGTGAGTAATGTGGATATGGATAAATACAGCACACTTTTTAAAGGGATGTTTAGTCTACATTTTGTGGGTGGAAATTAAATCCCTTCCAGTGAAAGAACTTGGTTTTTATTGTGGTTTGTCGTGCTAGTTGTCATTGCGTTACAGGTTGACATAAAGTTACATCACCAGTGACATAAATTTCCTGCTCTCTCTCCTAATTTTACTGTTTTCTTTCATCTTCATGTTTGTGTTAAAATTACCCTGGTATGAGTAAGCACCAGCCTATGACTCTTTCCAGAGGTTAATATGAGCAATCTACAATCAGACAAAATATACAGTTTCAAATGTAATATTGACATGACTTTCTTAGTTGCCTTTCCTTCATGATATTTTATATTAAAACCAAGGTATGCTGTGTTTGTGTATGTTGTTATTTATGGCAGCAGGAGGGTGCTCCTGATTCAGACCAAGACAAAGTTATGTCAGGGAGTTTGGATTTAAGCTTTCAAGGGCTCATATAAAACATTTTGAACAGAGTTGCTTATGGAATAGTAAAATTGTAACCTACTATTCCCTAACATTTATATTATTAGTTGTGTTAAAGGTAGAATTATAACAGTTACATGCAATCAAATGCCACATACAGCATCACCTGATGCTAACCTTCAGTGTTCTGCAAAGATTTTTCCTACCTTTGATTTTACCCCTTCTTGTTGAAACAAAGAGGGAATTTTCTTATGCTAGGACTGGAGCCAGTGTAGAATTGCGGTACTGGTGAAGATGTGGCCATGAACTTTGTAAAATTTAAAGCATAAAAAATCTACCCTATAACAGTTTTACATCCTTATAAAAATACAGTAAATAAGTACAGAGCTGTGTAGAAAAATATTAATTAAAATTGATTTCTTTATTCATGTTTATGTGCAGAGACTGAAGGGCCGTGTATAATTTGTTGTATACTGTAAACTTACATCTAGATCAGGGGTGTCCAACCTTTCACCTTCCCTGGGCCACATTAGAAGATGAAAAATTTGTTTGGGCCACATGGGGGGGGGAGCCCTAGCCGTCCTCCAAGCGCGCTTACCGGCAGCTGCAATCTTAGACAGCAGAGGCTGCCAGCTTCGACTCCGGGGGCTTTATGGGGCCGGGAGGGGGTCCACCTATTGACAGGGACGGCGCAATGCAGTCACGCACCCCCCCTGTCCCCTCCCCTCCCACTCCTTCCTTCCTTCCCTCTCTCCCTCTCTACTGTTGTGACATGCCCCGGCCACATTCCGGCCACAAGCGCCAGCAGTGTAACTTGAATCTTTGGAATTTCTTTAAAAATAAAAAATTGCACTGGGCCACATTGCGAGCTGACCTGGGCCGCATGCGGCTCTCAGGCCGCAGGTTGGACAAGCCTGATCTAGATGATGGCAACTCTAACAGGGTTTTGAAGCACTGATTATACAAGTCTCTCCCCCCTGTGAAAGTCTTTGGCTAATTGGGGATTTGAGCCCAAGTTTTCTGAGTACCTAGTCTGACAAATCTGCTACACCTCACTGGCTCACCTAGTTGAATAGTACATACAATCACTTAAGACACTGTGAAGTATACTTTTTAAAACAAAATCTATATTATGTTAATCAAGGGATGGTAAAAATAACTTTTTTTTACTACCACCCTAAGAATCTCATGCCTTGCATAGTCAGTGGCCATGCTGGTGATTGGATTCTGAGAGCTGTAGTTCAGTAAAATAACGTTTCCCATCCTTGACCATAGTGGCTGAAATCCTCTTGTGTAGCTACACAAATGGTATAACTTTTAGACATGAATTGCCATAGGATAGGAAATCTCTTATGGCATTATCTTTTGCATGCTGAGTCACGTAACTCAGTATGCAACAAATAATATCAGTGACAATTTCTTAAGGCAATTCACCTCCAAATGTTACACACTTTGTGTTACACCAGCATAACAAGACAAAAGGATTTCAACTAGGATATTTTGGTTTTCTTGTAGGCCATTATTTACTGTGTTTAAAGAAATCCCAGCTACATTTTCTGCAGAAAAAAGTGCTTAGCTCAGGATATGTTCCCTGAGTAAGTTCTTGGCACTTTGCTATGACATGAATGTTTGATCACTGGATATGTGAAATAAACAGGTTGTAGTAGATAAAATGAACATATTGTTGTAGGTGAGGTAAAGAACTGATGAGTGCTAGGACAAGACACCTCAACTGTGCTTCACATCAGGCATTTCCTCAGTGCCTGCCTGCCAATGCCTTTATCTCTGCTTGTCTTGTTCTCAGAGTTCTATCAGCTCCCAGTCAATGCTTGCTGAGATTTCATTTAGCCAAGTGAAAACTAGTCCCCTAATCATGTTGAAATGACTCTTATTTGGCACTCATCTGACTCTAGAAATCAATGTGTTGGACAGATGCTGAAAACTATTTCTGCTTCCTTTTTCCTTGCTTTTCTTTTCTGTTGACATTTTAAGCTGCTTAATTGATCGAACAGACGTTCCTCCAGAGCCTGTTCTGTGTATAAACTGCATGGCCTTGTTGCCAATTCTCTCTCTCTCTCTCTCTCTCTCTCTCTCTCTCTCTGCTTTAGCCTAGCAGCTGAATGGTGAAGGTTTCTGTAACTTCTTGGAGACAATGGAAACCATGGATTGTATACCATATAGAAGAACACTATAGATTGCCTTTACTTTGGATGGATAGCAAAATCTGATTTTTGCTTTTTCATTGTGAGGTAAATTTATTTCCTGCCACTTTACAGCAGGTATCTTTATATGTATAAGTATCATACTGCTACATACCAGAATATGACTTTAGAACATAACAACACCCTTCTGCTGAACTAGCTAAGCAAAACAAACCTCTCTGGTGTTGCTTGTTATAATTGAAATGAATTAAAGATTAATCCAAATTTGTTACAGTTATATTTTACATTACCTTCAAAAATGTAATGGTGGCACACATGGTCCCCCCCTCTTTCTATTTTATCCTCACAACAACCCTGTGAGGTAGGTGAGACTCAGGGAAAGTGTCTGAGAAATCTAGTTAGGCATAAACAGCTCCCAAATGGTTACTACCTACCCCATTGTAGGCAGATACTGGTACTATATGGGTGTAAGTACTGTATACTACCTACTGTTACCAATTGCATTCAACTTCCTATCACTTTCTTAATATATGGATGTAGGTAAGCAGGCTTGGCATCAACATCTAGCATAGGAGACATTTGCTGGGGTCTAGGCAGCCCAATGAGGCCTGCAAAGATTTACACTTTGTCCCCCCCCGTCTCTAGGACTTGCTATTTTTTACCTGTCCTCTCCCCGTACAGAACAGTAATCACCATCTTCTCCACCCCTCCATGCCCATTGTGAGGCCTCTGCTGGGCATGCCTAGCTGTAAGCAAGCACAAGAGAAAGGGTGCATATTCTGTATTTCCTCCCCAGAGAGAATTGGGGGAGGACAGGAGGCTTGCTCTGCATGGAAAGTCCACTGAAAACAGGCTGCTCAGGACCCTCTAAAAACCACCACCAGGCACTCAATGCATGGGAGAGCCATCCCTGTTCTCCTACTCTCCTCCCTACCTGCCAGATGTTCCTGCTCAAACAGCTTCTGTGTAAATAGAACTACTTGGCTACACCATGTTGAAAGAGGAAGGGGACTAAGGTGAATCCTGAAGCTGGTGTGGGTGCATAGATTTTTCTCAGTGTTTGTCCTCACACCACAAAAGAGGCTCATACATTTTTTTTTGATGCAGAAAAACTAGCCTCCACTATTACAATGGAGCCATGGAAAGATGGAACTCGTTGCTTGATTCACAAGTTCTTCAAGTTCATCTTACATCTTTATTCTTTTTTGAGAATGCTTATTTCATTATTTATTACAATTATTTTATGCTTGTTTATATGTACAGTACATACATGTGATGCCAAATACTATTTTTAAAACTGGTTTAACCTATGCTCTGATTGGCTACAAAGCAATAAAGTATTAGTAAAATGTTGTTGACTCCCTCAGCTGAATTCTGAAGCAGCAGGCCTGCAGGTGAAAAGTGTGGTTTAGGCCAGTATATATACACAGTTGTCACCCTTTTGTTGTTAGCAGTCCTGATGTCTAGCTATGTACCATGTTGTACTTTTAGTTGTACAGCTATTTTTGTCCCTTGGAAAATGTAGTTTTTCACTCAAGTACCATATTTATCACTATTGCTGTGTGGAATGCAACAGCAACTACAAATGTGAAACAAATGTGAGTATTGCCCATGGCAGCCTTTCCCAGCCTAGTGCCCTCTGGATTATCCGAACTGCAGATCCTAGAAGGCCCAGCCTTTTACCATATTGGCTGAGGCAGATAGGAGTTGTAATCCAAAACATCTGGAGGGTGTTAAAAGGCAGAAGGGTGGCCACACCACAGGTGAACTCATTACACTACTACTGTGTGATTTTAAGGCTTCAATCCTGTACGCCGTTATGTGAGAATAAATCCCAATGAAATCAGTGGGATTAAATCTGAATAGATTTACTTAGGAGTGCACTGTAAAAATCTTTTAGAGAGTTAATACCGTTGCTGTATCATGCAGGGCTGTCCTCTATTCTACAGTCATATCATTAACAAAACTTCCTCTCTGGGTCCATAGTTTGTGTTGCCTTTTACTGCTTTTAGTTTCCATAAACTACCTTACAACACTGATGACAGGTATATAGGTATATTAAATAAATATATATATAAGCCATTTTTCTAGCAGCAAATTACTCCTACTTTCATTGAGCCACATTATGCTGTTTATTATATTGATGTATTTCATTTGTATGTTGTCTTTCTCCCAGTTAAGGGATCCAAGACAGCTCACAAGTTATTTAAAAAACAATCTAACTAAAATCATGATAAATTATAATATTAAAAACTAATTAAATGTGTAGCAGTATCAAAACAATTTCTCAAAACAATTTCAAAACCCTGAAAACAAGTTAAAAAAAACACATAGATAAAATTCCGTATTGATACTTGATATTTATAAGTTCCTCTATCATGAGAATGGCTGATGGTTGGATTCCAAAAGATCTCCTGTATGGGGAAATAGTGCAGGGAAATCGCCCCAGAGGGAGACCACAGCTGCAAAACAAGGATCTCTGCAAGCGGGATCTGAAGGCCTTAGGTATGGACCTCAACAGTTGGGAAACCTTGACATCTGATCGTTCAGCCTGGAGGCAGGCGGTGCATCATGGCCTCTCCCATTTTGAAGAGACACTTGCCCAGCAGGCCGAGGCAAAGAGGCAATCCCGAAACCAGCAAAATCAGGGAGCTGGACAGGGGGCAAATTGAG